ATTTTGGCGATTTGATTGCGCGAGTAAGTTCGTATGATGTTTTAAGACTTGTGTGCATGTTTAGGTTGGAGTCCCGAGAGCTCTGGTGAGTTTCGGATAGGCTACGGGATGTTTTGGAACTTAAAAAATTTTGCTAGTATAGCTGAACTTGTTGCAGGCCTCTGATCTCGCATTTGCGAGATCAGGCATCACAATTACGAACCTTGCAGGTTCCGCATTTGCGGGGCTTTCATCGCAAATGCGAAGGAAAGCTTGGCCAGTAGTTCTCGCATTTGCGAGGTTACCTTCGCAATTGCGAAGGGAGTCTGGGAGGGGTAAGGATCGCAAATGCGATCTTTTACTCGCATTTGCGAGGTCCAGTGATCGCAATTGCGACACTTTCCTCACATTTACGAAGGCAGCAGGACTGTGAAGGAATTTGCAATTGCGATAGCTGTAACATGTAATTTTTTACCCTCCCAAAGATTTTACATATTTTGGCGTAAATATTTAATTTAGGTTTAGTATCGCTATTCTAAATAGTGTTAATTCTTTTACTTTATTTTTATCACAAAAAGTAAAAATTACAAAAAAATATTTTTCATCTTTAGGTTAAAGTCAATTAGTATATTTATATTTATAGTATTATAACATTTGAAAATACAAAAAAAATAGTTTCACTCGTAGTATTTAGTTTTATATTAGTTTATTTTAATTTAGAGTGATTTTTACGTTTTTATAGATACATTGTATTATTTGGTCTTTTTAGCTTAAGTTCAAACCCAAAAGACATGGTCCAACCCAATTACTCTTAGCCCATTCTTCCCAACCCATTAACCCACTCAAGTGCAAGATTTAATCCTAGCCATCTATTTTTTTCTAATCCAATAACCATCATCCCTTCCCACCTTCGTATAAAATACCCAATTATAAAAATCCTACTCTAAGTTTTTAATTCCTAGAGCTAGAACCCAAACAACGACAGACCCCATTTCGAAAAGAGCTAGACCAGGGCACTCTAAGCTAAAACGGCGGATTCCTTCTGATTCATGAAAAAAATGGGTTTTCCGCAAATGGAATTGAACAATTGGATGTGGAGATAAATCCCAGTCATGCTAAAATCGGCGTTCATTTTGAATTCCTTCTCACGTGGAGCTTCCAGTGGATTTACGAGCTAGCTCATTATTTCCTTTAAGCAGAATTATTGGCGTTTGAGGAAGTGAGAGTCCGAGTATGAGCATTTCAGTGTCGATTCGAGGTTCCTGTAATCTTAGTGTTTATGTCCAAGAATTGTTGCTTTGTTTAGCCGATTGCTTTACAATTTTCAACGTTATTCATCAAAAAAGGTTAATTTCTCAATGTTCATTCTTATTTATTATGTTATGATAGCTTGGTGCGTGTGTTGGTTGATTTGTGATTCTACGTTGTTTGAGTAGCATGCCTTAGTTTTTGTTTAAATTGTTTAAATTAGTTTTTATTTCGATTGTGGTACATGTAATCTTGGGTTCTTGAATAAATGCTTTTAATCGGGTAGATGAAAAAATTAGAATTGTTTCTTTCTTGGCAAAGAATAATAATGAGCCATAAGGTGAATCTTGGACCATAAGGAATTTAGCCAAGTAATAGATCATGTTAGCTAACCTATTTGCTCCCCAATAATGTCTTGTTCATAAATATGGCATCACAACAATCTCAAAGATTAGGAAAAAATTCAAATGTGCTAGTATACTTTAGGCACATATTAATAAATAAATCTGATTATGTATACGTTCGTATAATATAATTATGAGTTTTTTAAAAAAATAATAATAATAAATCGAGGTATGCGTTCGCGCAACTTTGACCAAACTTTCTTAATATTAATAAAGCGTGATTAATTATGGACACGTACGCGTGACATTATTCTTGACGCGCCAAACGAAATGAGTGCACATACGCATGGCTCCTTTTAAGATAATTTTCAAAATTACGAATAATCAAGCAACTAAAAGCGGTTAAAGGGATAAATGCACATAGGTCCTAAAATGAGTAATTAAACAATTTAAGTTAAGTATAAATCGCTAAGCGACCGTGCTAGAACCATGGAACCCGAGAATGCCTAACACCTTCTCCCGAGTTAACAGAATTCCTTATCTAGAATTTCTGGTTCGTAGACTTTTAAATGAAGTCAAAAGATTTCCTCGATTTGGGATTTAAAAATTAACCGGTGACTTGGGACACAAAAAATAAATTATTCCAAGTGGCGACTCTAAAAAATAAATAAAATAATCCAATTTCAAATAATGTCACTTTAATTGGAAAAACTCCCTTACATACCCCCTCGGGTGGTAAAAAGGAGGTGTGACAATAGCTTTTTCGCATTTGCGAAGCTCAGGTCGCAAATGCGACATTTGCAGCTGTGTAAAAGGGACTTAGATGAGATTTTTGATTCATTTCCCAAAATTTCAAAACCTAAACCTTAAGAGGCGATTTTTCAATGGCTATTTATTCATTCCCCAAATCATAGGTAGATGATTCTTAACACATTTCCTTCAATCTTTCACTTCTTTTTACAAGATTTCAACCTAGAATATAAAATTTTCATGGTGGAATTAGGGATTTTTGGGTAGAACTTATGAATTTCAAAATTTGAGAATTTAGACCTCAAGTTGAGGTCGAATTCCAAAACCAATTGTATATCCGGGCTCGGAGGTGAATGAGCCATCAGGTATTGGTCCAAATTTCGAGTTCTGACCAAGCGGGCCCGGGGTCGATTTTTGACTTTTGGGGAAAATATTGGAAAACTTATAATTATGTATTAGAATTGACTTCTTTAGCGATAATTGATGTTGTTAAGTTAATTATGACTAGATACGAGTGGGGCAGAGGCGGAAACTAGAGGAAAAACGGTAATTGAACGTTGAGTTGGCCGTTGGATTGAGATAAGTGTTGTGTCTAACTTTGACTTGAGAGAATAGGGATCCCCGACTTAATTTCTATATGAAAATCCATATGTGTGGCGTATAGGTGAGGTGACGAGTACCTATGCGCCGCTAGATTATCTATTTAGCCTGTTTCTTTCCCCGTTCTTGATATATTGTCTTCCTGTCTTAACTGCTACATGCTTGTTGGTGTTTCCATGTTTATTTGCTTCTTGTTAGATGTTGTTTTCTTTATTGAAGGTATTAATTGTTCCGTAGTTATATTGTATTTTATTATTGGGTTAAGTTAGTTTATCCGTGTTTCATGGTATATTTTGGTTGGTCTCGCTGTGAAGTATTAATTGAGTGAAGTTTCATAATTTTATAGCCTTTTGTTTACTTTGGTTTGAGGCTTAAATATTGTGGAGGTTTTAAGCTAAATTGTGAAATCCATGTTCTTATTGTATGATTGGTGCTGATATGGTGGGATCGGGTTGCGCGCTGCAACAGGAGGAATAAGGGTGATATATTGAGAAGGAATAAGGGTGAAATGCTATTGTCTGGTGGGATCGGGTTGCACGCCGCAACAGGAGAAATAAGGGTGGATTGAAATGGAATAATAAGGGTGAACATTCGTATTGATATTGATTATATGGTGGAATTGGGATGTGCGCCGCATCAGTTTATGTGTTTATGTACCTCTCTTATACCGTGCAAGTTATTTTATAATTGGCTTTACATTTAAGGATTGGTTATAGCTGGTTATTGATAAGATACCAGAGTTCTGTATTCTTTCCTTCCAAGTTACTGTTTCATTTTGTTCCGTATTTTTTTCTGCTTTATTACACATTGTATACAAGTTATATTTAAATTGCCCCGCCGTAGCCTCGTCACTACCTCGTTGAGGTTAGGCTCGGCATTTACCAGTACATGGGGTCAGTTGTACTGCTACTGCACTCTGCACTTTATGTGCAGATTTTGGAGCTGGTAGTGGCTGATCGAGAGGTCAGTGGCAAACACTTCATCTAGGAGACCCAAGGTAGTCCTGTTGGCATCCGCAGGCCCTGGCGTCCCCTCCTATGTTTCTAAAATCCCGTTTTCTTTTCTTTCAAAACAGATGTAATTTCTTTCAAACCGATATTTGTAGATATTCATAGTATATTCGTGGAGTTGTAACACCGAATTCTGGATAGTAATAGTGATAATATCAGTTATAGTATCTATATGTAAAGAAATTGTTTAGTTACTTCCGCAATTATGATTAGTGGTTTTAAATTGATTACTCTTATTCATGAGTTATAAAGGAAATTGGTTAATGACACTCTAACGTTGGCTTGCCTAGCAAGTGTGATGTTAGGCGCCATCACGATCCCGATAGTGAAAAATTCGGGTCGTGACATGGTAACATCCCAGCTCCACAAAATTCAAATCATAAATCCGTCAAATCTTCAAACCAAAAAAAAATAAAAAAAAATGGAATCTTAAATCCGCCTCGAACTATAGTAGTACTATCTTATGCAAAATAGAGTGTAGCAAAACTATGGAACAATACTCATATTATCAGATTATTTGACATAACCACACGCCCACCTAGTGCTGGAAGATATCCACTCATTGCGCTGACTCTGGTTCTATTTTTAAATTTGTAAAAATGAAAAGTTAGTGGTGATTCCATTGACTCGTTAAATAGAAATATTATCCATAACAATTGGAACAAATAAGTACACACCCGATGCATAACTTCAGGCCATCAAAGAAAGTGTGTAGAAACAAGCACTTTAATATTAGATCAACTCCAGCAGCAAAGGTGGCTTTGATCTAATATTTTTCGCTCTCTTCTATTCGTAATACTAGGCTTAAATAACTAAGTTTAGTTTTAAGACGCGACTTAAATACAACTATCTCTATATCATTTTTCAATTTTTTTTGTTTCCCTATATTCGCAATTTATTTTCCATCCGGTGTCCGGCACTCCTATTGAAACCCGACTATATTCAGATTCGCGTCGCGCCTAGGACCCCATTCGAACAGCCCCTTAGATAACTAAGTAGTTGTTTCTCATAAACGGAAGGCGCTGGCACATCAAGTTATAAAATCCTTACAAGGAAAGTAGACAAAAAAGAAACCGAACAGAAATCTCATACTAATACATATTTTACTTGGTAACACAAACAAACATATAACACAACTAACTTAAAAATTACACAAAATACATGACCAAAATGTGCAGCAAATATATATTCTAATCAGAACCCCAACTACTAGTATTTCACTTTCACATTTTTCCCAGAGGCATCCTTGGCCTCAACCTCGGCAATGCCTTCTACATCCATTCTTCCAACGTCGTTAAACGTCTGACCAGTAATCTGATCGGCCACTTTCAGCCTCGCGGCGGTTCTCCCCGCCGGAGTATCCTCCACGTCCACCACTATCTTTGATCCTCCGGTGCTACGCGTCTCATCTGTAGTAGTAGTGTCACGCATGCTAGATGGTGCTAATGTGTCTTTAATCGCGTCTCGCACACTTCCAAGTGCACCAAAAATACCACCACCACCGCCGCCGGAAGCCGCCGCCGCCTTATTCTCATCCCTTTTCTCGTAATCACCACCTTCACTAATTTTCATATCGTCCATTCTCCTCCTTGTTGCTTCTTCAGTCTCATGATATTTCTCCTGCAATGACATTATTAACAATATACCTATCAACCCTAGAGAGTTTAACTATATATATTGAACTTCTATACACTGAAAATGTAGAAAAAAGTTTATATAAAAAAACATAGTTCCTACAAGCTACAACTCATATAGGTTGAATCAATAGCTTAATTTTTTTTTATTTCATATCACTCCATGCTATAATAGGTTAAATATACTCAAGAGTGCAACAATTATTTTTTCAATATAGAAATAGGTTTATATATATAAAAAAAACATCGTGCCTATAAGCTACAACTCATATAGGTGGATTCAATATTTTTTTTTCTTCAATTTCCTATCTTTTCCTGCTATAATATTTCCACTATAACAGGTTAAAATATATGTATTTCTTGCTATAATAGGTTAAAATATGTTCACATGCAAAAAATCATTTTTTCAATACAACACAAGTTATCATAAAAAAAAATAGCGCTTACAAGCTAAAACTCACATAGATCGAATCAATAACTTAAATCTTTTTTAACTTCCTATTATTTCCAGATATATAATAGGTTAAACTAAAGTTAGTGCAAAAAATATTTACTTTGTCCCGTGAAAACGTAAGTTAAATCTAATAGGCAATAATTAACATTCTAAAATTGGCGCAATATCTTATTGACATCATAAAAAAATGTACAACAAAGGCCATAATTTTATTCCATAGTTTTATTCCACATTCTACTAAATAGAAACTAAGCAGAAGGCTATAAACGGCTAACCTTTGCAGCTTGCTTAGTATCCTGTGCCTTTTGCTTAGCTGCTTCCGCCGTCTCCTCCGCCTTCTGCTTAGTAACTTCCGCCGTCTCCTCCGCCTTTTGCTTCGTAGCTTCCGCCATTTCCCCGGCTTTCTGTTTTGTCTCCTCCTTTTTTCCTGTTAACATATCCATGGCACGTCTCGCCGCATCAGCAGCCGAATCTTTCAACTCTGTTAATTTGCCCACTGTGGTATCTTTGCCTTCTTTCGCTTTTTCGGCCGTGTAATCCTTGTATTCCTCAGTCTTCTGCATCGTTGTGTCCTTTGCTTCTTTCGCTTTCTCTGCTGTGTAGTCCTTGTACTCTCCTGCTTTAGCAGTTGTACTGTCTTTTGCTTCTCTCGCTTTCTCCATAGTTGTATCCTTTGCTTGTTTCGCCTTCTCCGCTGCATAGTCCTTGTACTCTACTGCTTTAGCAGTCGTACTATCTTTCGCTTCTTTGGCTTTATCTGCAGCATAATCTTTGCACTCTCCCATTTTTCCAACAGTTGCATCTTTTGCTTCCTTTGCCTTATCAGCAGCAGAATCCTTGTACTCTACTGCTTTACCAGTTGTACTATCTTTAGCTTGTTGTGTTTTCTCAGCAGCAGAAGTTGCAGTACTCTTAGCTTTTTCAGCAGCAACATCTTTTGAATGTCTTGCATTTTCCGCCACTACTCCGGCGGTGTCGCTTGTCACGGCGGCGGTTTCGTGGGCTTTTCCGGTGACTGCTTCTTTAGCATGTCCAAGAGTTCCTTGAACAGATTTGATTATACTGCCAATAACACCGGGCTTTTGTTCATATTCTTGAGCTTTTCTTTCTTTGTTCACATCACTGAGTTCGTCTGCTGCTAATCTTGCAGCAGCTTCTGCTCTTTCTTCTTTCACTGCAGCCCTTTCTTCTCTCACTGCTTGTCTTGACTCCATTGCTTCTGCTTTTAAAATTTAAGACTAACGCGCGCAAGAAGAAAATCAAAGTTTTGTTCTTCACTTTAGGAACTTTAAGAGTAAGTATACTGAAAATTATGTTCGTGGTGGTTCTCCGAATTAGGACGTGCTATATATTGGGGTGGTAAAGAAATTTGATTGGACACGTGGAGGAAGGAAGGGTTAGGAAGTGACACGTGGATGGTGTTGTGGATATTTGACACGTAGCATTGAAAGGTGTCACCTTGTAATGCATGCAAGGAGGAAGCTTAGTGTATAGGAATTGGTTCTTGATTCGAGGTGGTGGATAAGAGAAGAAGTTTCTGGTTTTACCGTCAATGAGAGTTGAGATCGGTGGCTTTTGTCTACTGATCTCTCGATCGCAATTACGGGAAACTGTTCGGATCTCGGAGTCAATCGAATTATTTTTTGGTCATAAATATTTATATGTCATTTAAATTTTTTAAATTATTAATTAATATAATTTATACTTAATATTTTTATGTATTTTAAATATATAAATTTATTTTGAAAAGCTGAAATATTTAATGTCCAAATATGTAATAAAAATTAAAGAGTTTAATTTTCAAAAAGCTTCTGTTGGGTGTACGATGGACCCAATGGGTTGTGGGCCGGCTTGGAGTGGAATGGGCGAAATTAAAAAATAGCCAGATTTACAACTGGTCATTCAAAATAGTTCAGTTTCAAAAGTAATTGAAATTTAGCCATTTTTCATATTCAAAAATACTGTTCAAAATCCAGAAAATACGCCAGTATATTATGTTGGAGTTCCAGCATAAGTATACTTGAGCTCCAGCATATTATACTGGAGTTCCAACATAAGTACACTATAACTCTAGCATAATATACTGGAGTTCCAGCAAGAATACCGGTCCGGCATAATATACTAGAGTTTGGAGCACCGGTGCTCCAGTCTCCAGTATATTATACTGGAGCCAGCAAAGTATACCGGTCCAACATAATATGTTGGAGTTCATACACAGGTGCACCGAACTCCAGTATATTATGCTGGACCGATCTCTATTGCAGCAAAATAGTGACTATTTTTTATTGACTTAATAAACGCTAGCTATTTTTGAATGACCAGCCCGAAAAATGGTTATACCGTGTTATTTGTACAAATGGAAACGAAGAATTAATCCAAATAGTAGTTCATCTTGCAATAATGGAGATCTACTAAATTACAGGTGAAAAACTTCATGAATAATGGAGAATGAAATATTGACAAACTCAATGAAACTCTCCCTGCTCATATCACTGATAATATTGCTCACCTGGAAATTGGGGATCCAAATGAGGACGACTTTCCTGTTTGGATTATCTCTAATGACGTAAACGTTTCTTCTAACTCAACATGGCACTCTATTAGATTCAAAAAACATAAGAATAATTTCATAAACAAAATATGGCATAAGTCTATCCCATTCAAAATGTCTTTTATTACTTGAAGAATTTTCAAAACTAAATTGATGATGTTATTTGCAGATTTGGTACTAACATTATTTCCAGATGTTCTTATTGCTCTTTTGCGCAGTTGAAACAATGCAACATGTCTTCAATAGTAGTGAAGTTGCCAACTTCATATGGAATAATATCGGAAATGCACTAAACAGTGCAACATGTCTTCAATAGTAGTGAAGTTGCCAACTTCATATGGAATAATATCGGAAATGCACTTGGAATCAAACACCAACATGAACCTGTTATTGCTACCTTTAAGAGATGGTTGGAGACAATTACCAACAATAAAGTGCACAATCAAATTCTTCAAATAGCTCCCACGATCATATGTTGGGAACTCTGGAACAAAAGGAATGCGTGCAGATATGGAAAACAGAAGAAGTTTCAACTGAACACTATGAGACACCAAATCATCTGGACTTTGAAACCTGTCATTGCTAACATTGTTCCTGGTGATTATACTCAAATGGAATGTCCCCTATTATGTGACAAAATTGAGAGGCTCAGACCACCCCAAAAATGAATACAAGTTACATGGGAATTCCCTCTGCCCGACACTATCAAGATTAATACGGATGGTAGTTTCTGCAAAGAAAATAGCAAGGTAGACATTGGAGAGGTAGTATGGACAGTCAAGGGGATCTGATTATGGCATTTTCTATTTCTATCAGTTGTGATAGTAATACCATGGTGTCACACCTCCTTTTTACCTATACCCCCGAAGGGGAGTAGATGAGGGAGTTTTTCCAATTAAAGGACAATCGAAACGGGATTTATTTATTTAAAAATTCAGAGTTGCCACTTGGAAGATTTATGGTGTCCCAAGTCACCGGTTGAATCCCAAATCGAGGAAAAAGCTTGACTCTATTTAACAGTACGCAAACACAAAAATCCGGGTAAGGAATTTTATTAACCAGGGAGAAGGTGTTAGGCACTCCCGAGTTCTGTGGTTCTAGCACGGTCGCTCAACTGTTATATTCGGCTTAACTCTCTAATTCTAGAAACACGTTTTAACATATGATGCCATTTTAAACTTTTGACCGCTTTTAATTAATTTTTTGAAGAAGATTGAGCGTCATTTAAAACGTGCCTTTGAATCGCGCCACATGAAATGCACCCGCAATCCTAAACACATTTTAGTCAACGTTTTAAGATTTTGATTTGGGTCACATGAAATGCACACCCGAGTTTATGAAGGTAATATTATTAAGTTATGCGCCTAAAGCAACCACGCGTATTCACGAACTATTTAATCTCTTGCAAATCCGATTTATCAAATACCAAAACCATTATTAGAAGGCCAATTACTGAAACGGATAGCTGAACAAATTCCTATCAATATTTCAGTAATTAAAACCAAAAATAACGTGCCAATGTAAGAACCCATATTCAATTTGGATTTTGAGGAAATTTACGAAGCCTGCAATGGGAATACTAGGCAGTGTTACATTTTTTAACTGAACTCTATTAAGCAAAGCCATTTTGTCTAAAATATAAACCAATCCTCAAAACCCTTTTTCCTTTTCTCATTCAATTTAATTTCTAATGGGAAAAATACAGCTAATATAGGCACATAACACGTTTGAAACTAAAATTTTGCAATTAAAAAAATGTCAAGAATTTTGCAATCAAGAACAGACAACCCATAAGAAATTACGCTTTGAAAATTTACTAACTAATATCAACTAAAAACGCAAAACAAACCATATGACAAAACGCCTCCCTCATACATATTTCACAAAAAAAACATGTGTTTAATAACATAGTAACAGAATAAAATGCAATGAACGGAACAAATCGGAAACTAAACCTTCATAGAAAACGGAACGAGCTACTGCTGACCTTTATGCTAACGATTCGACGTCGAACAATGATGAACTTCTAATGAAACACAGCTTCATTCAAAACACTATTTCGACGCTCGACTAACAGACACAGACTCGAACGGAGAACGTAGCAGCGCCGGAACCTCGAACAACCATTCAGATCACACCCATATCAGTTTCTAGTCAAAGTTTCTACGGAGTTTGATGTGTAGAAGAAGGTGAAAATGGCTGTGTGTATCTAAGTTCAAAAAGAAGGAAAGGCTGAAAGGTCGTTGGCCAACGAGGTGGATAAGCAGCCGCTGGTGGTCCTTTTCAGCTCGTTTTCCGGCGGGTTCGCTGATGAGAGAGCGGCTGGTGTCGAGGTTTGTGCTAGTTGGGTCGCTGGTTTGATGAGAGGAGGAGTCGAAGGGTGGTCAGGTTTGTCGATTGTTGAAGAGAGCAGGCGTCGATGGAGGTTTCGAAGCTGAAGGAGAAGGGTAGGGGGCTAGGCGCTTCTACATGAAGAAGACATCCTGGGGGAATTTCAGATCTTGTCTCTCATCTTCAGTCCAAATGGCGCTCTTCAATGTACCCCCCTTTAGATTTTTTTAGGCCTTACCTATATGTAGAGTCTAGGTTTAGGTGTATTTTTTGTGTATTTTGCCAATTAGTCCCTAGATCTTTTTGTATTAAGTCCTTAGGGTCTTCTTTATTTGTTTTTGTTCCAAAGAAGAGTCTAGAAGTGTCCCTAAGCTTAATGAACTAATCCAAATTGAGCCAAGAATTGGGCTCTAAAACTCTTAAAATTGTGATCCAACACCTTAATTGACTTCTTTTAAAATAAGATAAAAATACTACACAATCCAAAGCTAATCCTAATTAATTAAACTAAATATGAAACTATTTTTGTGTTTTATAAAGATAAAAATAAGGTACCATTTATATATATTTTTTTGCAAAATACATAAAGTAATATATATATTTTTTGATTTTTATTTTTCTTGTAATAAAATAAAGTAAAGAGACAAAATGAGTTGAAATAGCTATATTAGGCCTAAACTAAATATATACATGCTAAAATATAAAAAATCTTAAGGAGGGTCGAAAATCACATGTCTACAGCTGCCCCTCTTTGACTGGAAATGTGAAGCATTTTCGGACAAAGAACGACTAGACAGGTATTTTGACCCGACACTTATTTAAAAAGACCAAAACTAAGAGAAAAAAGGGAATGTGACCGAACCCTGGTATCTGAGCTGCCTACATATCCTTGGATATAAAGGAATCAGGCCACGTGTAGTTCAGAGGTTAGTGAGATGATGGAGTATACCGAGGTGGATAGTCGGTCGAGGTGCCGTTCCGCCGAGGTTCCGATCCGCAGTCCTGTTATTATATCAAAAATCAAAACATGAAAAAGACTAGCTAATCCTGTCAACTACGAGTTACAATATTCTTATCTATAAGTCTTCTGAAGCTTGATCTTGAGTCTTGAATGGTTCTTCATGCGGACCTTAGATTTGAACCTTGACGCTTGCTAGTTGCAGGTGCTAGCTCGTTCTTCTACAACTTTTTGGATCAAGACCGGACATGTAGTGCTTGTGACTTCCACCATGTCTTAAGCAGTTCACATCTTCCATCAACTTCTGCATTTGGATTCACTTTTTGCCTTTCTCTCTTTTTTTCTTTATTGTGACTGACTTCTATTGATCACCTCAGACTGTTAACTCGCATTTTTGCCGTGAGATTCTTTGGTTGCTGACTTGAACTGCAATCTGAGATGCTTTTCCTTTTCTTCAGGTGGACGCCTGATTGTTG